ACTCAGTGGACCGCTCTAAACTCTGACGCTGCCTTTCTCTGAAAGATGTGCCCGAGAAGATTATTTCAATATTACGATTCCTCTACACTCATAGCCGAAGCCGAGTCCGAGCGTACGGCACGCTTTCGCCCGAGTTCACCACAGAAATTGGTGTTCGTCAAGGTTGTTCTTTGTTATAGATCTGATTATGGAAACAGTCCTATTCTCGTGCGATGACAGTGGCATCGATTTACTCCCAGGTGACAGGCTGTCTGATCTAGAGTATGCAGACTACATTGTGCAACTGAGTGAAAATCCTGCTCTTCTGGAAAGTTTGAGTGCTAATGTAGCCGTGTTCGGTATGCGTTTCGCACCTTCAAAGTGTAAGATGCTACTACAAGACTGAGTCGGTCCAGCACCCAGCCTCATTCTAACTGAGGAAGTAATAGAGCAGGTGGATAAGTTTTGTTATTTGGGCAGCTACGTCTCACCCGGTGGACGTATCACGGATGAAGTGTCAGCTCGCATACAGAAAGCTCGGTTGGCATTTGCCAAATTGAGACATCTATGGCGTCGTCGTGACATCAGGCTACCTGTGAAGGGTCGTTTGTATGCTGCAGCAGTTCGGTCAGTTCTGTTATATGGAGCAGAAACTTGGTCATTAGGAGAACAGGGCAAGACAGACTGTCGGTGTTTGAACACCGATGTCTACGCAGCATTCCACGAATCTGGTGGGGCGAACAATACTGAGGTCAGGCGCAGAGTTCTGGGTATCCGCGGTCGCCCACTGGAGCAAGTGGTCGACCTCCATAGATTACGTTGTATGGGGTATGTGTCACCAAATTGGTTGCCACGACGAGCGATGTTCGCCGAGGCAAGTAGTGGGTGGAATAAAGTCAAGGTTGGTCAAGCCAAGACCTGACACAAGGGTATAAAAACCCTGAACAGGGGACTGGGTCACATGGGTCCCGTTAGACTCCCTGGATGGGGACCTCGGGATGGTCGTACCCGATGGTTAGCGACACTGAGTGATGTGTTTAGGTGACGTAAACAGTGGCGTTCTAGCATCTTCTTAATTTATCTGTATCATTAGTCCAGTGAACTTTTCAATTTTCTCTTTGATCCTACTTTCAACCTTTATTGTCTTTCTCCTAATGTTCATCCAAATGGGCAACCGAAAGATAACAACCAAACTCGGCGCACGATAGTGCATGGTTAATGGTTGTACAAACTGAACTGAAAACTGAGCTTCTCTGCAACCAGCGAGTCGGACAGTGAACTGCATCAAATCGACCTGCAATTTTGCACTGAGCCACGCCAATGGTAACTTCCTGCGATGTGGTCGATTTGAGTTCGCGTACCAGTTGAACTGGAGCGTCACGTTGCCGTCCGTCGAGAGTTATGTTGGAAGTTAGTGCTTGATAGCAACAGCTGATGGTTTCCGCCGAACTGAAGAAGTTGATCGCCTTTATCTGTTCGTTGGCTGGACAGAGCACAACTACCGCCTAGGCAAGCTTCTGATGCGCCCAGTTTTTCAACCTGCACGTTTAAGTTACCTGCAAGTACAACTATGTCGGAGCTTCGACACATCCGAATGGGATCGGTGAGACTGTCGTAGAAGGCGTCCTTTTAAGATGCAGAAATGCAATTGGTCGGTGCATATGCTGATACGATAAACAAACACCTTATGGTGTTGCTTCCCTTCCGGACTTTGATTGAACCCTGGAGACGCATTGCACATAAACGACTGTTGACGGGGATCCAATCGATAAGAGAGGACTTCGCCCTGTTGCTGAGTGCAATATCTACGCAGCGCTGACTCAGAGAGCGGGCTTCGTCGTCGCTAGATATTCAGCTTCAGTTTCAACAACCATTAATCATGCACTTTCGTGCGCCGGTTTTGGTTTCTGTCTTTTGGCTACCCACTTGGATGAATGATCGAGTAACAGGAAAGTTGAAGGTAGAGTCGAAGAGAAAACTGAGAACTCCAGTAAACAATGGCTGCAAAGAAATTAAAGATGATACAAGAACGCCACTGTTTACGTCACCTAAACACATCACTCAGTGTCGCTAACCATCGGGTACGACCATCCCGAGATCCCCATCCAGGGAGTCTAACGGGACCCATGTGACCCAGTCCCCTGTTCAGGGTTTTTATACCCTTGTGTCAGGTCTTGACTTGACCAACCTTGACTTTATTCCACCCACTACTTGCCTCGGCGAACATCGCTCGTCGTGGCAACCAATTTGGTGACACATACCCCATACAACGTAATCTATGGAGGTCGACCACTTGCTCCAGTGGGCGACCGCGGATACCCAGAACTCTGCGCCTGACCTCAGTATTGTTCGCCCCACCAGATTCGTGGAATGCTGCGTAGACATCGGTGTTCAAACACCGACAGTCTATCTTCGTCCTGTTTTCTTATGGGTCGCCTGATGTGCGAAGAACATATCTCGAAGACAAATCTGGTCTGCTCAAGCGGCTTATAGTAGTAGGATCCTGGATACGAGTCACCGACACGCAGCAAATATCGATTCCCAAGGATTCCATTTTACGCGTCAGACGAGCTCGTTGACCTATCTCACGTTGCTGGCCGCCAGATTCAGTGATTGACAAGGCTTTAGACTGCAATTCGTTTCGAGAAACATTGCTTACAGTGTTATTCGGCAACAATCTTTGGCGAGGATGGTCATCTAAATCGCACAGCGAACTTCACTGCCAAACCCGCAAGATACAAGATTGGTGGTAAAACTTAAGGTGGATAGGGATTGGATCTACTTCGAGGGAGGGAGGTGAACCACCATAGTTAACACACGGAATGCACAATCCAACTCTGCATACATACTGTTCAAGCGTTATGGACTGATAAGAAATGACAACGAGAACGCCACTGCTGTCGGTTCGCTGCCATACTCTTTAATGTCTCCAACCAACCAGTTGTGGAGTCTTTCTGACCCCAACATGGAAGGCGTCAGA